TGAATTTTTATCAAGATTTGAATGTTTACTGTTCAAAATATCATATCGGGATCCGTGTCATGTCTCGAGCTTCATGCCGGATGATAACAAATTGTTGTTGGCGGATCAAGGAATATGATTAAATATCAATCGATTTATTATTTATATTGTAAAATAAAGTAAACTTTTTATTTAAGTTTTTTTAAAAAATATTAATGACTCAGATTTTGACAAATCCAACCCCGAAAAGGATACCATGCATAGACGTCAGGGGCAATCCTGTAAATATAAATTTATTGGGCCTCGAGTCAGGCTCTGCTGACTGCTGACTGGACTGCGACATTTAAATAAAAATAATAATTAATAATAATTAAAAAAAAAAAACAATTTGGTCATTCATAATTTTACCCTTGTTTTTTTTGTGTGCAAAATTATTCAATTTTATGCGCAAATCCCCAGATTTTTTGGAATTTCGCTTTTGGTCTCATTTCATGATCCATGAGATACTCTGCCAATTTCTCTATCTTTACAGTCTGATTTTTTAAATATTAAATATTTGTCTTTTTTTTTTTTACTATAAGAAATATTTATTTTTCAGATATTTTAGATATTTATATGTTCATTTTTCTTATAATTTATACAAACTTATACACATATAAATAAATAGGTTTGATATGGCATAAAAGATTTAAATGATATAGAATTATAAATAGAAGTGTGATCGAATCAAAACCCGTAATTAACTCGAGCTCAGCGATACCTATAAGCTAATAAAATAAGCTTAAATTGACACAGACTCGTCTGGTTAGCTCACGAGTTAGCTCATTTAAAATAATATTGTTATAACTTATTAATAATGTTAAAAAAGAAATTTACTTTTCAATTTTTTATTATTTATGTCATAATTATTTATTTTATTTGTTATTTTACTATGATATTAACTTAAATTAATATTAATATTTTTCGATGATAAACAAATTGGCATTAGTGCGTAATAAATTTGGCTTGAGCCCGAACTTGACCAATTAATCAATCTCAGACTCAAATTATTGATGGATCGAGCGACTTTTTTACGCCCCTAGGTATAAATATACATTGTAAATAATGGTTGTTTGATATGTAAATACGAAATAATGTGGCGGAGTATATGTAAATGCGTCTTTAATTTATTATCACAAAAAAGAAATATAAATAGAAGATCTTGAGCCTCACTACAAAAATATAAGGGGTTATATGTTAATGGCTTTAGTAGCTTTAATATATATTATAAATTTGAATTTAGTAAATTATGACAATAACAATTTTTAGTGAGTTCAAGATTTATGATGAATAGAGAAGAAATTAATAAATATTGAATATATTGAGTCCTAGTTTTAAAATTATTATTTATTCTATTTGACAATATTTAATTTAATAATTAGTTGATTTTCCGGAGTGTTCTAAATTGTGAATAGATTTGAGTGCGATGTAATTCTTTCAATTCTCCTTATTTGCTGTATAGAGAATTTCTTAGTGTAGTGTGACTGGATTTTTTCATATTTTCTAGTTTTTTTAAGTTAAATTTTATTATTTTTTATCATATATCTATTCTCAGTGTTTCTATTTAAAATTTTGCTTAAGATGTCTTTGAGTCACTCCTCACAATCGAAGGGTATGTTTGAGTCAGCTGCAGCAGTTTGAAGAAGCAGCTTCGGTTTCACAGTAGAATAAACTGTTCTTAAAGAAAGTTGCGGTAGTTATTAAAAATTTATTTTATTTTCAAAAACTCATACCACATTTTTGTGACAACAACTACATTTTAGCAGCTGGGGTTTAAAAAAATAACTTGGTATGCAAAAATTTCTAAGAAAAAAATTGTTTTCCAAACAAAATCTTAGATAAAACAAACATAAATATGTCCCAAAACATGAATCTCAACATCAAATATGCAATAAAAGTTGAAGTTGTTAGAAATTTATGTTTAACATGTATGAAACAAATTCTAAAAATACATAATAGCCAAGATATTTTAAATTCATAATTTTTAAATATCAATAATAAAACAACACATACCTGTATTCATGATGATTAAATTTGATCTTGAAGAGATGAAGTTTGTCTCTCTAATCCCTTGAAATTTTCTTTATTTTTTTATGGAGAGAAATGTTCAAGGTGTGTTAGGAAGAGAGATGACTCATTCTCTGAACTATGTTTTATTTAACTATAATCCATAAATGGGGTTACTAACCAATAGGATTTATGATAATTTAATAAATTAATTGATTTATTATTATTAAAATCAATGACATAAGTTAGTAACCCCTATTCATCTTAAGAATTAAATGAGTTACAAAATTAAATATCATAAGTTATGACATAAGTTATGAGTTAAAAAAATAATTAACTTAAATAATCAAAATAAATCTCATAAGTTATTACAATAAATGTGAGTCATAAATAAAATTTAACATTCTCACACTTAGCTCACTTAATTTTAATCGTGCATAATATACTCCACGAAATATAAAATAAATCATTCTTTATATTGGTTAAATCATAAATTATTTAATAAACATGAAATTAACATGAATCATGATGGTTGTGCATCAATTTATCGACACAGCCCATTCTATGTATCACAATATCAATTACATACTTAACATAATGAGAATTAAAATCATGTCCCATAATGTCTATTAAAAAATAAATCTTTATTGAACATCATGCAACATAGAGTGTAGAGAAATTATGTAGCTACATAGAGTGTAGAGAAATTATGTAGCTACATAGGGTCCATTTCTCAATTTAATAATTTTAAAAATTTGACTTCTAACCTGTAAATTTATATCTTGAACGCATCGACGCTTTTCTCTTCCATGATTAAATACCCTCACCTCCCCGAAACCTCTCCACTCTCCCTCCTCCCATCAGAACCAACAATGGACGAAGCCGAAAAGCACCCACCGGAGCACGATAAGCCGCCGTGCGGTTACAACATAAACGACAATGCCGACTTGCTTGCAGAGATCCTCGCCCGCCTCGACGGCCGCTCTCTCTGCGCCGCCGCCGCCGTCTGCCGCCTATGAGGGGGTAGTTC